TGGACAGAGAAAACTGGACTGTGGTTACCAGGGCAGTGGGGGTGGAGGGTGGGCACAAGGGGTGAAGGGAGTCATATATGTGGTGATGGACAAACAAAAATGTGCAACCCAAAATTTCACAATGTTAGAAACCATTAAAACATCAATAAAAAAAAAAAAAAAGTAACCTGATTCTTTAGGAAATGATGACATACATTTTTGGTTACTGTCTTTTATAAGCAGGTTTATAGACAAGTTCTCTGTTCTTTTGATGTTATGCAATAATAAAAATTTATCAGCATCATTTTTATCTTATAATTACTAAAGACTGAAAATACAGCCATACAATTATGTCACTCTCTAAACCAGTCACTTAACTTACCAGAAATTAGACAAATATCTTGTCCCAAGCTTCAACGTATGTACTCTGGAAAACAGTATACAAATGGAAGAAAAATATGATTAAAAAAAGATTATCATTAATACCTAGATTGAGAATTTCCATAAAATAAATAGCAGGAGACATTCACACATGTGTGACAAATATGACTGCAGCCTCACACTAGTGTATCACAATTAAAAATTATACTCACGCTACCAATGCTTTAGTGAGGACACCTCTATGCACTGTTTAGTTCCATTATATAAAGCCCCACCTGAGATTTTTTTTTAATTCAAAGCTATAAAAAACTTTGCTTCTTCAGAGAAAAAGTATGAAGTTAAGACATGTAACTGACTATGCCTCTTTTTAGTAACTTTGCCAGATAATATGATGGTCAAACATGGTATTCAATGATACAATCGTATTAGCCCTTTTGATCATGTTCTGCTACATAAGATTTCCTTCTTCCATCCCTATTTTCTCTATTCTTGAATCTATTCTTAGAGATATTTTATCATTATTCCAAACTACATAATCTTAATGAAAATCATCTCAATTCCTTTGTGGATGAGGCAGGCAGTGACTAAATGAAAGGAAGGGATGGAGGGAGAGGGAGAAACAGATATACAAGAGCAATTATATGTTGCCTTTATGCCAAGATTATCTTGCTGACTGCCATTAGCAGGGCACACACTTTTACGTGTTCTTCCAGGGATGGAGGATTTAGTCTAACTTCCTTGTAGCCAACAGCGTTTACTTGTGAGAAATCTGCGCCTATTATGGTAACAGAAGGTGACAGCACACATTAAGCCCACACCCTGGGCTTTATTTACACTAATTCTCATCAATCCATCTAAAGAGTCGAATCACTATAATTTACCAATATTTGATCATGTAGAATGCAACATAGCAAAACTCATTACTTTTTTAAATGAGAGCTTTCCCCACTAGGATGGCTATAATCAAAAAAATGGAAAATAACAAGTGTTGATGATAATGTGGAGAAATCAGAACTTTCATACATTGCTGGTAGGAATGTAAAATGGACAGCCACTGTGGAAATCAGTTTGGCAGTTCCTCAAAAAACTAAACATAGAGTTACCATATGACCCAGCAACCACTCCTAGGTATATATCCAAAAGGACTGAAAACATACATTCACACAAAAATTTGTATATGAATGTTGACAGCAGCATTCTTCATAACAGCCAAAAAGTGGAAACAACCCAAAATGTACTATACCCATACAATAGAGTATTACTCAGCCATAAAAAGGAATGAAGTACTGGTTCATGCTACAATATGCACGAACTTTGAAAATATACTAAGCAAAGAAAAGTCAGACACAAAAGGCCACATTTTGTATGATTTCATTTATATGAAATACCAAGAATAGGTTAATCCATAGAGCTAGAAAGATTAGCGGTTGCCAGGGGCTGGGAGGAGGGGACAACAAGTGACTGCTAATGGAAACAGAGGTGTCTTTCACGGATAATAAAAATGTTCCAGAATTTTATGAACAGATACTTTCCCAAGGAAGATATACAGATGGCCAAGAGGCACATGAAAAGATGTTCAACATCACTAATCATCAGGGAAATGCAAATCAAAACTACACTAAGATATCATCTTACACCCATTAGAATGGCTATAATCACCAAGACAAAAAACAACAAATGTCGGAGAGGTTGTGGAGAAACGGGAACCCTCATTCACTGCTGGTGGGAATGCAAACTGGTGCAGCCTCTATGAAAAACAGTGTGCAGATTCCTCAAAAAATTAAAAATAGAAATACCTTATGATCCAGCTATCCCACTACTGGGTATGTATCCAATGAACCTGAAATCAACAATCCAAAGAGGCTTATGCACCCCTATGTTCATTGCAGCATTATTCACTATAGCCAAGGGCAAGCAACCCAAGTGTCCCTCGACTGATGACTGGATAAAGAAGATGTGGTATATATATACACAATGGAATACTACTCAGCCATAAGAAAGACAAAATTGTCCCATTTGCAACAACATGGATGGGCCTGGAGGGTATTACGTTAAGTGAAATAAGCCAGAGAGAGAAAGACAAACACCACATGATTTCACTCATATGTGGAAGATAAACTAACACACGGGCAGAGAGAACTGTTTGGCGGTTACCAGGGTTAAGGGAGTTGGGGGGTGGGCATAAGGGGGGAAGGGATGCATGCATAGGGTGACTGACAAACAATAATGTACAACTAAAATCTCACAATGTTATAAACCATTAAGACACCAATAAAAAAAAGAATAGCTGAAGCTCTGGCATGCAGATGAGCAGGGATTGCAACAATTACGCAAAAAGGAGAAGTACTAGGAAAAGCAGTAGAATCTGAGCTAACTCATTTTTCTTTGAACCAACAGCATTAACACGCATTTGTTAAAAAAAAATGTTCCAGAATTAGATAGCAGTGATGGTTGTACAACTTTGTGACTACACTAAAAACCGCTGAGTTATACATTTTAAAATGGTGAATGTTATGGTGAATTACACCTCAATAGAAAAAGAGCTTTTAAATATTGTTAATAAATCAAAATTTATGACAGCCTCTGAAATATGTTAAAAGGAGCTTTTCAAAGGCCTAAAAACCAATTATTTTAATATCCGACCCTTAATGCTTAATACAATTGCCCCCAACAAGCTAGTCTCATTTCTAATTTTTAATAAGATTGTAAAATCTTGTGGTTTTAAAACCTTCTTTAGTACCTCTCCCCACCCAAATTGGTAATAGAACTACCCCTTCTCACCTCACTCACATTCTGATTTAATATATACACTTAACAAACACAGTAAAGGGAAGGGAGACAGTGCAGAGGCAGAGTTCCAGTGAGAGAGGTTACACGGAAACCTTCACGAGATCTAGCAGTCCCTCAACAGGCCGCAGTGCTGCGTGCAAGAACCTTTTCCACAAATGGTCATCCCCGATTTTGATTTAAACCCTTCCAGAACAGAAAACTCAAAAGGAGTCCCATTCCATCTTCAGAACCATCCATTGAACTGCTAAAAAGATCTTCCCTATACTTACCTCACTGTACTCTTCCCTACTGGGGAAGAGTTCTGCACCATAGAAACTCTTCCATTAGACCATCTCTTAAGTTTCAGCACAGCTATCATGAGCTGCGAAATCCCCTTTCTAGTCAAAATCCTTAGTTCTTTCAACCACTCCTCAGACCTTGGTTTCATAATTTGTCACCACTCAGGTCACTCCCCGTGATTGACTCTAGTTATCTGATATTGAGAGAAACTTGTACATTAACCCATCTGTGCCTCAGTTTGCTGAGATCTGTAAAACTGGGATAATAACAGGATAATCTGTAAAATTGGGATAATAACAGTATATATAAAACTGGGATAATAACAGTATATAACAGATCTGTAAAATTGGGATAATAATAGTCAAAGTATAATAGGTGTTATGGAGAAAAATATACAGCAGGGAAAGAGGAATATGGAGTTCTGCAAGAGGGTAGGAGTGGGGAGGGAGTCGGTATGTCACATAGGGTAGTCTGGGGAGGCCTCTAAAACATACATTTGAGCAGGGACCTGAAGAAGTGAGAAAGTAAACCATGTGGGCATTTGGAAGAGAATCCCTGGCTAAAAGAACAGTAAGTACAAAGGATGTGCGCTTGGTGTGGTCTGAGGAGCAGCAAGGTCGGCAGGCTGAGGAAGAGAGAGAGGGAGAGCAGTCAAAAATGGACAGAGAGAGGTAGCACTGTAAAACTTTGCAGGCCAGCTTTTATAGAAGTGGGATGGACATGGCATCAGAAGGGTGAGATTGCCTGACCTGGGTTTTAAATGACTGCTGGGTTGAGAATACACTGGCCAGGGAGCAAAAAGGAAGTCACTGCAATCACCGAGGTGACTGACGAAAGCGGCTTAGACAAGTGCGGCAGACTGAAGGTGCTAAGAGAGGGTCCGTTTCTGGCTATATTTTGAAGATAAAGCCAAGAGGATTTGCTGGTGAATGAATGTAGAACGTGAGTGAGAAAGAGGTCTGGGATGACCCCCTGGTTTTTTGGCAACGTGGGTTTGTATTCTGGGAGGCTCTGCCACTTACTGTGTGACCTTGGCAAGTTACTTAACATCTCTCTGCCTCAGTTTCCCCCTCTGTAAATGGGGATAATAACAGTACTTACCTAATAAGACTGTTGTGAAGATTATATGTAAAAAAAATCTTAGAAGAGTGCCTTCCAGTCTATAAGTACTAAATAAGTATTGCTATTATTATCATCATCGTCATCATCATTATTATTATTAGCTTGCTTGTGGAAAGATGGAGGTGCAGGAAGAACAGGTGTGGGGGAGGATAGAGATCAGGAATTCAGTTTTGAACATGTTAAGATTCTACTGGACATCAAGTGAAGATGTTAAAGAGACAGCTGGACATAAGTAGAGTTTAGTAGGAAGGTCACGGCTAGAGAAGTGTATCTGGGAATTGGAGACATATAGACAGTACTGAAAACCATGAAACTAAAGAAGATCCCTCTAGCGAATGAATATAGAATAAAAAAGAATTTCCAGAATAAATATAGAATAAAAAAGAGCCTTGGGACACTCAACATTTTGAGTGTTATATGTTAAAGCTCCTTTAACATATTCCCAACATGTTGGGAAGACAATGAGGAACCAGCATCCTCCTTCCAGGAGTGGCATCCTGGATGTCAAAGTAAGAACGTGTTTCAAGAAGGAAGGAGTATCCAGCTGTTTTGAAAGATCCTGAGGTCTAGTAAGATAAGGAATGATAACTGATCACTGGATTTTACAACACAGAGGCACTGGCAAGCCCTGCTAAGAACTGTTTTGATACAGTGGGGATGACAGTCAGGTGGAGTAAGTTCAAGAACGAATGGGAGGAAATGAATTGGAAACAGCAGATATGGACAACTCTTAGAGGAATACTGCTACAAAAAGGAACAGAGAAACAGGCATCTAGAGGGGAACGTGGGTCAAGTCTGTTGTTGTTTTAAGATGAGAGAAAACGCAGCAGTTTTTAATACCAGTAATAACGTGTCAATGGGAGCCTGAGAAAAGGGTGATGCAGGAGAGGAGATAACTGTTGAGGCCTGTCCTTGACTAGGCCCGAGGGCACAAAACACAGTGTACAAGAGAGGGGATGGCCCAAGAAGACTTACGTCACTGCGTCATTCATTTATTTACTCAACAAATATTTATCAACCAAGTAGTCTGTGCTCGAGACTACTCTCAACACCAGGGATACATCAGTAAGCAAAATCAATAGTTACATGAGAAAATATACATAAAGCACTTAGAATAATATGTGCTTTTGGCACCTGACAAATGCCAACTAAATACAGACAGATCTGAACTATGTTCATCCAAATCTTTTATAAAAATATGGACTAAGACAGTGTCCTAAAACTTGCCCCTAGAGAACTATCAGAGGAGTTTGAATAACATGCTTTGAGTTGATAAAATTTAACTTACTTTTGATAATATGAGAAAATGGCGTTAGAACTCATTGAATGCAACCTCTTAATTTTGAAGAAAAAAGTTAAAAACAGAAAGCCAAGTTGACTTGCCCAGAGTTACTAAATTAATTCAGTGAAGAACCAAGAGCCAAAATTAAAACCCAGTTCTCCTACTTCCTACTCAGGTTTTCATTACGCTTTCTTTGATCTCTCTCTCGCTCTCTGACAGAAAGGCTGAAAATATTATGACTGCAATTTCTGTCTTCCCTCTACTTCTGCCCGGCCCTTCTTCCCCTCCGATTTACCAGAGGCTGTACTTGACTCCTTACCATTTTATTTTAATCCAATAAAAATTCTAATTGTTAAAAGATTTTTCAGGGAGATATAATATTTTAGTTACCAAAATTCCAGGTTATTTCCTATTAAAAAAAATCTATGATAAAACACAGTCCTATGCATCACATTTAAAGTATCTTAATTTTCTCATCTGGAATTCATGTAACTTGTAAGAAAAAGTTGACAGGCTGAACTATTACCATGTTGATACTGATAGTGAGGAATATTTCCTATTATTGACTTTACAGATGTTTAAAATCAGAATATTTCAAAAATGGATAAATCAGAACAGACGATTTTTTTGGTTTGTTTTCTACAAAACCTTAAAGAAATAAATCTGTTTTTAAACACCCATTACCAGTACTTTTTGCCAGTCCTGGTGGTCTAGTGGTTAAGATTCACCCCCTCGGCCCAGGTTCATTTCCCAGTTAGGGAACCACACCACCCATCTGGTGGTTGTCATACTGCGGCAGCTGCGTGTTGCTGTGTGCTGGAAGCTGTGCCACGGGTATGTCAAACACCAGCAGGGTCACCCATGGTGGACAGGTTTCAGCGGAGCTTCTAGACTAAGACAGGCTAGGAAGCAAGACCTGGCCACCCACTTTCAAAAAAATTGGCCATGAAAACCCTATGAATAGCAGCAGAGCATCATCTGATACAGTGCTGGAAGGATGAGAGGATGGCGCAAAAGACCAGGCAGGGTTCTACTCTGCTGTCCACAGGGGCGCTAGGAGTCAGCATCCACTGGACAGCACTAACAACAAACCAGTTCTACCACCATGAATGGTAGCAGATGCATTTCTTACTTTTAGTATATGAGCCACATTGAGGATATGCTGAAAATGCCAATTAAAAGAAATACTCACTGAAACACAAATTAACTTTCCCTTTTTCTTTTTGCATTTTTAATAGTGGTTTAACAGGACTTTAGTACTCAGTTTTAGCGACTAAGCATTCTATTTCAAACAGTCAATAAAGCTGAAGTTTATCTAATATTTCAGCTAAGGTATCCGCCAAACTCAACCTTTTTATCTTTAAAACAATACCTTTTAGATTTCAAGCTTCAAACTCTACGTTCTGATATGAATTACCTTTCAAGGATTCTTTTTTTTTTTTTAATTCTAGGATGTCCTTCAATTTCTAGCTAAAATCTTCCAGTGCTTGATAATTACTGCTCTACCCTTATTTTCTTAACCCAGCCTCATCCGTAAAATGTTGCTCATCAGCACTGCTACCTTCTTGAGTCACTAAAAGGAGCATCTCTCTGACATCAAAGGCAGCAGTAAGGATGTGGGAATAAATATTTCATATGAAAATTAATCTTCTATTTCCACCCACCAATAAATGTGGCCAAAATATTAGTGACTGTCCTAAATGTCTGGACTTTTACCTCAGTTTTTATATACTCTAAAGAAAGAGCAAACCAATTTCAGCATCAAATGGAAAACCCAGCCCTAACCGCTCCAACAACCGTCAAGTCTGAACGTGCTTCTTTGAGGAGGCTGCCTGGGCAGTCTCGACGAACACCGCGCACCCAAGACCGCCGGCTTTTTTCAAATGTACAGTGCTGCTCCAGTTTTGACATCCTGATTACGTGCACATGTAACTTTCTTATCAACCAGCAGCTTGAGGGCAGAGACCTGTATCACAAGCTGCAAACCGCAGGGACCCAGACAGTGCCTGGCGCCTAAAAAGTATTGGGCACCCACACTACCCACAGCACAGAGAAGAGGTGTGATATGCACGGTTCCCTCAGTGCCTTCCGCAGCCCTGGGAAGCAGGCACTACTGATCGCCCCACTTTACAGACAATCACGACGAGGCTCAGACAGGCTAAGCCGCCTGCGCGGGTCACACAGGTAGCACAAGGGGCACAGACCAGGATTCGAAGCCTGACCGTCTGCAGGCGCACTCTCACCCTCCACCCCGGCGGCGGCTCGGCTGCGCTCCCGGCATCTCCACAGCCTCCCCGAGCTTCCACACCAGCAGGCTCGGCTGCGCTCCCGGCATCGGGCGGTCACCGGGCCAGCCCCCGGCCTCGCGTGCGGCGAGCTGAGACCGGGCGCAGGTTTCCGGGCGCGAGGGGAGATGCGGGGCGAGGAGAACCGGCTCGCGGGGCCCCGCCCGGTGCCTGAGCCCAACACCGAGCCTGGCGGGGAGCGAGCCGCCCGCCCCGGGAGACTGCACGCGCGGCCCGGGCCGCTCCCAGCCCCGCGCGTCTGACGCGCCGTCGGGCGCCGGGCGGGGAGGAGCGCGGGGAGACCACGGCGGGCGCCCACGCACCTCGGGCGGGAGGGAGCAGAGGCGGCTCGCCCTCACCCTCGAGCAGCGGCGGGGGCTCTCCGGTGGCTCAGCGGCCGCGGGAAGCGGAGAAACTGGAGCGGTTGGCTCAACCTGTGAGGAAAAAGTCGAACGGCGCTGCGGCTGCAGCCCGGGCGGGGTTGAGTGTGACACCGCCCGTCGCCCCGCCCCTTCCCGTGGCCTCCGGGAGCCACTTCCGGTGGCGGCTCCGCAGCCTGCTCCCGCCTGGAGCGGCCCGGGGCTGGTTCCTGACTCGCCCCAAGACGGGCCGGCGAGGCCTCCTCCGGTCTCCAGGAACCGAGCAGAGGCCGGGCGGCCGGTCCCGCGCCGTTTACCGCAGGGCTGCCTCCTCCGAGGTGGAGGATGTGCTGCGAGAAGTGGAGCCGCGTGGCCGAGATGTTTCTCTTCATCGAGGACCTGGAGGAGGACTATAAAATCCTTTGCCTCTGCTCCAGGGCGTTCGTGGAGTAAGTAAAAACGTGTTCCTCGTCGTTTCTGGCACCGTGGTTGCCCAGGAATGGACGTGTTGAGCACTAGTTGTAAGTGATCCCGGAAACCACGACCAGAGGCTTTGGCCCTTGGGCATGGTGATGTTTAAGCAGCGGCAGCACAAGTCCTCAGACTGCGGAGTGGCGGCCTGCTGCCCTGAAGTGAGGGAGTGGGTCTGCTCTGTAGGCTGTTAGGGGAAAGTGCGGGAGCTCGTAGATGCCATTTTGTATTTATAAATTGAGGGGGCATTTCAAAATTGGGGGGAAGTGGTATGTAAAATGCAATCTCTTTCATGGATGTGACATCGCAAGGTGAAGGTTTGAAAATGGGTAACTTGTTTTGGTTAATATCTTTTTTAAAACCTTAAGATTTGCTAAAGCGCAAACGCACATAAGTAGGACTTCTGATTACCTGAGATACAAGATTTAGCTACATTTACATCAGTTTTTGAGCTGTCTTTATTTTGGGGAAATATTTGTTTCGGGTAAAAATTGCCCTGCATGGAAGATGGCTAGCGGGCAGGAAAAAAAATGACTAAAGAATTGGATTCTAGGGGTAGTTTTCTTTATATTAGATGTGTACATTTAGCCACTTAAATCTTTTCTTTTAATCTCTAAAACAAGTATATTTAGCCTAATCATTTTAATTGTTAGATAGAACTTGCAGAAGTGAATTTTATGTGACAGACTTTTAATATAGTTTAATGTAGTAGAATTTAAGTTTGAAGAAATTCTTACTATTCATCATGTGTTTTTGTGGAGTAATCAGAAAATTAATGCAAAAAGAAATTAAACACTGTGCTAAATTTAATGTAGAAAGTATTATCTTTTCATTCGTGTATGCATGTATTCATTCGATGAATGCTTTTTGTGCTTCTTTGTATTAAGTCCTGGTGGGCTCTGGGGAACAAGACACAGCCCATCCCTATGTCCTTTGAGTTTACTTTCTAGCAAGGGTGATGAATAGTAAGACAACTGTTACATAAGCAGTTGGTTAATTATAGTTGTAAGTGCTGTGGGAGAGAAGTACAGGATGCTATGGCAGCAGAAACCTAACCTTTGCCCACAGATCACAGAGATTTAATTTTGAGAAAGTAGTGTTTGAAAAGAGGTGTGAAGAGTGTGTGGAGATAAACTGGGATGTGTTTGAGTGGGAGGAAGCATTCCCAGAAGCAAAACTCTGTAAAAGTCTTGAGGGAGCAAAAGAAAGCCTGTGTAACTGAAACAGAACGGCTGGGAGGGGAAGATAGAAGACAGGGTTGATGAGGGAGGCAGGGTCAAATATGCAGGACTTTGTAGAAGACAGGTTACTCCGGCAGCAGCGTAGGGGGTGGTTCAGAGGAGGAGAACCACTTAAAATCATTTTCCAGGCTACAGATGATGGTGGCTTGGATTAGGATTGGTGGCAGTGGAAATGGAGAAAGAAGGAATTATAGCAGAAAAATTGTTGAGTTGAGGGGATTGGATTCGATGTAGGGGAATAAACGAAAGATAAAGGATGGGAAGGAGGAAACTAGGTCAAGGGTAACGCCTTGGTTTCTGGTTTGAATTGATGCCTTTCTCTGAGATAAATATCACGGGAGAGTCATAGGTTTTTATTTTGGGACAGTAGTGAGAAGACAGTCAATTTTGTATGTTTTAATTTTGGAGTCCTATGAGATATCCAAGGGTGGATGTTATAGATGGTTGGATATATTGGTTTGGAGCTCTGGCGAAGTCTGGGCTGGTCTTAAAAACTTGAGCCATTCTAGTGCAGATAGTAATTGAAGCCATTAATTTAGCGCTTAAGGGTGGGGGGGTGTGGGATCCGTCCTTGAAGAATTCCAACGTTTTTTAAAGATTAAACGAGAAGAGATGGATTAACTGAGAAAGAGGTAGAATGCAAGTATACTGTCACCAAACATTTGAGGGAAGGAGTACATTGGAAAGCTGCTACTGTAACAAGCTATATGAGAACTAAAAAATATCCACTTGAATTGGTAAAAAATTTTTTAAAAATCTGCTAGATTGGGGCCGGCCCCGTGGTGTAGTGGTTAAGTTCATGCACTCTGCTTTGGCAGCCCAGGGTTCACGGGTTCAGATCCTGGGTGTGGACCTATGCACCACTCATCAGGCCATGCTATGGCAACGTCCCACATACAAAATAGAGGAAGATGGGCACAGATGTTAGCTCAGGGCCAATCTTCCTCAGCAAAAAGAAAATCTACTAGATTGTTGACTTGCTCAGTGCCGGGCACTAATTGCTTTACATTTCATACTTTTTTTTTTTCCGTTTAAGCGTTCCAGCAGTCCCCTGAGCTGGGATGTCTTCTTCCTATCCTTACTTTATTCAAGTAGAAAACTGAGTTTCAGTAATGGCCTAAAAAAAAATCAGACAGCCGGGTAAGTGGCAGCCCTGCTTTCTACCCCAGGTCTGTGTTGACTCCATAGCCTTTCCACTATCCCACTAATTAGTCTAGAACATATGATTTTATTGAATCTTCCCAATTGAGTATTTAAGTGGTCTAAAGTCACTAGGACAACTGGAGCCTTATTAAAATATTTTAATGTATTTTAGTTGAGATAGAGAACTATTCTGGAAATTGAAGAGCCTGTGTTTACATCTCATCATGCCCATGTGACTGGTGGTGAGCACAACAAAATCATTTGAATGTGTGTTTTCCCACAAAATTTCTCATTTATTCACCATGTATTTCAGCCACCCATGTGTCAGGCACTGTAATAAAAAGATGACTTAGGCACGGTAGTGATGCTTGTTGTATTCAGAGGTGTGATGATGAGCTGCTTAGGGCTCTTAGGGGAGCAGTATCTTAGTGGGGTCACTGCAGTGCAGGTCTGGTCTCCAACTTTACGATTCAGTTCAGCAATTAAAGTTTATTTAGTCCTTACGATGTGCCAGGTCCAGATACTTATCCAGAATCATTATGCTCTGTGGCTTGAGTTACACTGACCAAATTCAAAGATTGCTTTATAGAGAACACTTAGCAAGTATAACAGAAAATTCTTTGAATATCAGGCATCAGAAATACATCTTTCTCAGTGATGAATGTTCTTGGAGATTCTTGAAAGTTGCCCTAAGTAAGAAACAGTTGTCATAAAAATTTAAAAGCTAGCATTCTCTCTCTTACTGCTAATCTTTCGGCCTCAGATTATCTGTAGTCTTGTGATGTACGAGTAATAACCTTGGATACCTGTTTCACCTCTCACCCATGAAGAAGTGTCTTTCTGCTCCTACCTCTGGACCTGGGCTGACTTATTGGGCTGGCCCATTCCCCAAAAGGGGTGCAGGCTAGCACTGTGGGCGGGGCCAAGGCGCTCACCACAGGAGAGTACCTGGCTGTATTGTTGGGTGTGCAGGCCAAGAAAGAAGAGTCAGCTTGCATAGGACACCAGCCCAGGTTACATAGTTAGTTCTTAGCCTGCAGCCCACTTGAGTCTTGATGCTGTCTTCATGAAGCCTCCTTTCCAAAAAAAGAAAAGGAAGGGAGAGAACATAAGTTACAAAATATAAAAAGTTGAGAAAAATTCTCATACCATACCTCTAGAAAACAATATGTAACTGGATTTCAATTAAAGTGACTTTATTTAAAACAATTTTAATTGCTATATAAATCACCAATTATATTGAATTTAGTCTTTTTGAATTAAAACGTGCACTCTTTTGGGGCCGGCCCGGTGGCGGAAGCGGTTAAGTGCGCGCGCTCCGCTGCGG